CTTTGTTATTCAAAAAAGGCTCGTTCTTCTGTACAAAAATGATCGAGATACAAAAAAAAGAGGGGAGGGAGGAAGGGGGGAAAAAGAAGAAAAAAGAATTATAATTAAAAATTAAAAAAAAAAAAAAGAAAAACAAACCACAACCCAAGGACGAATTTTAGCCAACGAAAGGAGTGATTCCATCTCGTGGTGCACTCACTGGGCACACACGAAGAGCACACGCGCACACACACACACCTGGGCACACCTGGAGCACACCTGGACACACCTGGGCACTCCTGTGGCACAGCTGGGCACAGCTGGGCACACCTGGAGCACACCTGGGCACTCCTGTGGCACAGCTGGGCACACCTGGAGCACACCTGGCTCAGCTGTGATGGGTGGTGGCCACGGACAGGCATCACCTGGCCACGCACCCCGGGGACCCCTCAGGTCCCCCAGGCTCGGCAGGGCCGGGGCTGCTCCCCCAAGGTGGGATCCCCACCTGGAACAGGGGGCTCCGGGGATTGCCCCACCTGGTTGTCCCCTGGGGGAGGTGACAGAGGCCCGGCAGGGTGTCCCCGTGCGGCGGGACCCCCCTCACCGCCCCCTGTCCCCCCCACCCCAGCGCTCAGTTAAAGTGCTTCGTTCCGCCCCCTCCCCGTTTTACACCCTCACCCTCCGCCCCCTCCGGCACTCCCGGGCACCCCCCGGCCCCTCCTGCCTCCCCTCCGTCCCCCGGGGGGCCCCGGGGGGGGCGGCAGCGGTGACACCCCCCGGGGACGTCGCCGAGCCCTCGGCCAGCGAAGGACGCGACGCGGCCGCGGCGTCACCGGTCGCCCCTCGCCGAGCCCTGGCCGGAGCGCCGGGGGTCCTCTGCTCCTGCCGGGGGGCTCCCGGGATGCTCGGGGGGCACCCGGCCGGCTCGGGGGGCGCCGGGAGTGTCTTCGGCAGCCGCCGTTTCCCACCTTGGCGCGGCGCTGCCCGCGCGGCCGGACCCGGCAGCTCCTCTGTGCTCGAAGCCGGTGGAACTGGTGGGGTGAAGCTCTGAGAGCTCTTTAAATGAACAGAAAAAAAAAAAAAAAAAAAAAAAAAAAAAAAAAAAAAAAAAAAAACGGCGGGGAGGGGAGGGAGAGGGAGAAAAACCAAACCAACAGCGATTCCAAAGGAAAGGGGAGAGGGAGAAAGTAAAGAAAAAGAGGGAGAGAAAGAGAGAGAGAAACAGAAAGTGGCTGGTTGGCCATTGCGGAGCGAGATGGGAGACAGAAGTCGGGCCGTGGCGAGCGGAGGCGAGACACAAGTCGGGCCGTGGCGGAGCGGAGGCGAGACACGAGGTCGGCCACAGTGGAGCAAGACATTGATAAAACAGAAAGAGAGGGACAGGTGGCGATCCCTCCAGGTGCCCTCAAGAAGAACAAGTCCCAGGGAGGAAGAGGAGCCCAAGGAAGAGAGAGGCCCGGCCCCCCGGGAGCGGTTGGGTGGAGCTGGCAAGGATGCTCAGAATGAGATGGAGGAGTTCCTTGCCCCAAAGGAAGTCAATACGGGGATGGATGTTCTGCCAGATGCGGGTTTTTCTGAGACTGTGGGGGAAGTCTCACTGGCCTCTTTAGATGGTCTAGTGGCCTAGAAAGAAAAGCGAGATTCAAGGAGGAGGAGGAGGAGGAGGAGGAGAAAGGGGAGGAAAGACAAAAAAAAAAACAGTTAAAAAAAAAAAAAAAAAGGACAAAGAAAGGAAACAAGAAGAAGAAGAAGAAGAAGCAAAAAACAGGACAGAAAAAAAACCCCAAAACAACCAAGAACCAAAGGGAGTCTGTTCAGAAGCAGCATTGAGTCAGGCCTGAGGTCAAGCAGCTGGAAAAGGGCCACCACAAACAGCACGAGATGAGCTGGTCCCACGCGTTACTGGACGGGAAGGGGACGACCCCGAGAGCAGA